GCTAGGCTCTTACGAGGCTCCAACTAAGCTACTGCATGCTAGGTTCCGGGTTCTATGCTTTTTATCTTACATAAACCTGATCATTACCCTATGAGGGAGGATATTGCTGTCCCCCTTTTACCTGTGGGGAAATCTAGGCTCACTGTTATTAAGTCTTTATTGCCCCTGGGCTCCGTAGCTTGACCTTCTGTGCTAATAGATAGTTTATTGCTTTTTTTTTACTTTGTAATCACTTGCCCACGTGAGCAGAAGAATGAGTGGGTTAGGTTTGGGGGGGGCGGGGCAGGAAGTTCTGCAGGAGCAAAGCTGCCACATGCAGATGACATTGCAGGCCGTGCATGACTCTGCCTGACACCGTTATTCTTCAGTGAAAGGCCTCCGTTTTAAGCTGGTTGCAATCAAGGTAAAAGATAGTTTCAAATATGACGTTTTGAATACATATTTTAAACCAAACTCCTATCACAGGGAATCCAGAATTAGATACTGAAAACACAATCTAATTATGTGTGGCCTCTTTCCAGGGACTCTCTTTACAGCAAAGTTGCCTTCCACATCATTTCAAACTCTTGCCTCTTTATATTTAAAGCCAAATTTATAAGTCTGCAGTAAATTCATGAAGTAGCAACATTCTTTTGGACAGAGTATGGCCTTGGGCCACATTTTAAAAGCAGAAATGATCGCTTGAGTATATGGGATTTGTTAAAATGGACAGCTTTGACGTTTCTGTCTTCCAGAGCTGAAAAGGGTGTTATGATATTAATTAAATGAGTCATACGCTCCTCTTCCTTAATTAGACTCTCTCTAGGAGTAATTCATCACCGTAGAAATATACAGAATATCATCCAGCGAAAGTCTGAAATTTTACTCCACCTTTGCGTGTTCACCGTGCTGTTACTTTTTGCCGTTTGGGCTCTGGCAGGGTTTTATCACTGAAATCACTTGTTTCATTTCATGACGGCTTCATACACGCTGCAAAGGACAGTGCTTCCCAGTTTGACTTTTCAGAGCAGTAGCGGGGGGAGCGGTTAGTGGTTGACCTGGATTTGTAGGTTTCCTCTACTAGGTTTTACTACTAAATAATGTGTCTTCGGCTTCTCAAGAGCTTTCCCCTTCCTCGGTGAAACCATTTAAAGTTACTCTGTCTCTCAGGAAAACTGCGTTTCTCTCCTAATAATTAGGTTTTAACGTACGTACTTTTCTTTTATCATCTTCATTGGCAATGTAAACAACCCCCCCCCAAGAAAAAGGCATCGTAAAATCTGATCCTAAGCAAATAGATATAACAGGGTCAGTCACTGGAACAGTAAAACAATTTGCCTAACACTTCTGTATATTACTTTTTCTCCCTTCGTTTTTATTTCCTTAGAGGTGACTCCACAGTCAGTAGATAGCAAGTGCAGTATTTTTCTTCACTTGCAGATTTAAAGGACGAGTATCATACTGCAGTGGGTGAAATGTTTCCTATACACTGAAAATAGTATTGGGCAGTGCTTTCCTAGAGCTGGATTTCTCCTTTTCTGAATGTTTGCAACCTCGTGGCAGCACCCCTCAGTTAGGAAGATAGTTCTCATGACCTGAAACTGTCTTGTGGCTTCCTCCCTGTTCCCGGGCCTTGGTTTTGTCTCCGTCAGGATCTGTGGTTTTGGCCCAGCTGCCCTCACAGCCCTCGCCTTGGCTCAGTCTCCTCAAAAGCCCCTTCCTGTCCTTCAACACCGCCCTACCGAGCTCTGTACGTTAAACCTTCATTTGTGTGATTGCTTTATTTTATCTTTTCAGCCTTTAGCCTAAGTTTGAATATTTAAAACACTGGGGGGTTTTTTGGTTTTGGGGGTTTTTTGGTTTTTGTTTTTTGGGTTTTTTGGTCATCCAGAAGCACGTTTTGGAACCACCATCTTGTTTCTTTAAGTCATACTATTTTCATGATAACCCAGCTGAGATTTTCCTTTCCCACTGATATTCACACCAAGAATTAAATAGTAAAGCAAGGAATAATGTCTAAATTTAATGGACAGCCATTTGCAATTTATTTTTAGAGACATCAGAATATGTGGTATAATTCATTCAAACTTGTCCCAGCCAGAATAAGTTGACCAAGTTATGAAATTTCTTTATTCCAGTGTACTTGGTGCCGTTTTTAGTAGTCGTTTGCTTCCAGAAGAAGGAATGCTTCTCTTTCCTGAACCTTTGCTAGAGGAAACTTACTGGAAGTTAGCAGAAGTGATTATATAAAGAATACGCTGTGTAATAGGGCCTCTTAATAAAGAGAACATTGAAAAATCAGTTGGTAGCAAACAGTGACTTAGGACTTCGGGAGCTCTAAGGAAGTGAAACCCAGCCCCTACTTGCCAGGACTTTAAATCCCCAAAGCTGAAATTGGCATGAACACAGGCAGATGATAGAATACTGAATGACCACAAATGGATACACTTAACTGCAAGCTGTGTGTAATAGCAAATATTAGTTCTAATATTAGTTTAAATCACTTTGCGTAAACTGTAGATTTTTCTCACCCCTTAAAACACGGGGCCTTGAAACCATGATCCGTTTACGGGTGAAAGGCCATCTTAGGCAAAAAGGAACAAGCAGAACATTAACGAAACTAAAATGTTCTCTCTTAAATGTCAGCAGCAAAATGCCACTTGGAATGTGGTTGTTACGAAACAAATTCACAGTGTGTCCTAGAAGCTGTTTCCTATATCCTCCCGAGTTGTCCGAAGAAATACCTTCCTCGATGACATTCTAACATGGGGATGAATTGCCGCCATCTTGGGAAGGGAAGTCGGTTCTGAGGCCTCAGTGACATTAGCCTGGAGCCAGCTCCCAGCTCAGCAGTATTAGGAACAACGTAAAGGCATGTGCATAGCCCACCTCTCCTCACTGGAATGTTCTAGTGCTCCCCGGTGTTTTGAAAATGTGCCCCACTGGAGTGCTTTTGGTAGAAACTGCCAGTTTCAAAGTTTCACTTAATTATTACGGTCATGCGAAGCAAGTGATTGCTTCTCCTGTGAATTTTTAAGAAACCGTCCTAACAAAATGGCCTTCCATCTGAGGTAGTGAACCGTGTGTACAAGATGTTAATTGACTGTGTGTAAAACATTAAATGCGTTCTCACTGCCTGCCCATTTGTGTTTTCAGGCATCCTGACAAAAACAAAGATCCTGGAGCAGAAGACAAGTTCATCCAAATTAGCAAGGCTTATGAGGTATCCTCTCAAACTTGTGATGCGTCCATTAGCTCGTATAAAATCTGCTTTAGGCGGCCAGTTTTGTAAAGACCTCTCAGAAGGGGCACAGTCCCAATGCCCTTGACCCAGTTTCTAGATGATGGTAGAGAAAACTTATTTAGTTACATCCAATATGTTGAAATTGGTGCCTGAATACTTCAGCTCTTAAAAAAAAAAAACAAAAACAAAAAACTGGCTTATTTTAAAGGCTTTAATTGGAATTGTAGAGTTCTCAGAATTCCTAACTGTAGGTCTCTCTTTCCTTTGTAGAAACTTCTATTACATGGTCACTTTGACAGCACACATACTAGAACTTCTGTTAAAGAAAGATTGATTTCCCAATTTATTAAAGTGACACAAGGTTACAAATGCATTTAAACAGACTTTTTTCAATAATTTTCCAACATGTCCACTTAAGTAATTTGTTCTGGAATGTGCGTTAAAGATAAGTCCATGGCTTTATGGTTTGTGTAGGGTAATGCTCTTCAGGAAACAGTGTTTGGCTCATAGAATGGCACATCATCCGAAAACAGCCTCTTGAATTTTAGACTTCAGAATTAAGTAAAACAAAGTCAGCTAACGTCCGGGACACTGAGCTCAACCCTGTGGCTGCTTTTTGGTGTTCGCAGCTTTTCATATCTTGCTTTGAGTTATTCCAACTTAAGTGGCATAACCTAGTCAATTTTCTTGTCATCCAGCCCTGGTGATCAACAGTATGTTACGTTTTATTTGCTTTACTGATGTATTGAGTACTGTGATAACCCCAAATCTCTGAAGGCAGGACGAACATAAGTATCTAAATGACCGAAGTATTTCAGTCTTGACATATTTAATGTTTCTGTTGAAAGTAGGGTCTCCTATAGATCTACCCTATGACCCAGCAATAGCACTGCTAGGAATTT